GTGGCACTTTACGGATAGAGTGATGGAACAAAGAAAATTTAAAACATCTTGCAGAAAAACAAATGCGCTGAAAGGATTTCGTCATAATCAAAAGTCCAATGTCGCTTGCTTTGCTGGACCGGCGAACGTTGTATATTTCTACGAGCTCTGACAAAACAACTCTTTTATAAGCTTGAGAGACATCGCTCATACGCCGAGAATTTGAGGGAGAATGACTGGAAGCAGGCAATTAGCAAACGAGGAGGTTGGGAAGGAAACGAAAGGAAAAAGTGGTGGGATTTAGTGCAGCTACTGTTATCGCGCGATCGAATTCCAGCAATAACGTGAATAACGCCGACCTACTGACAGTTTCGACAAATTTGACGATCCTGAAGTGAAATTACAAGTGAAACCTCAGATGATAAAGCAAGGCTGTATCGCTAGGTACGACAAAGCTGCTGAAATTATCGGACTCATAGCTGGCAACATAATGCACCTGGAGAACGCGCACATGTTCTGGAAAATACACCATCTGAAATTGAGATGAAGATACTCCAGACACGTCAATGACAAAGCGACGATAGCCCTCTAAAACTAAAAATATCAAGGTCGATCGGGCAAGAATGTTGGTATCCCATGTTAGTAATATTATTAGGACAATTTCACACGCTACTCTAGGCCACTCCGACTGCTTACGATTACCAGTTAGTTCCCACCGCCTGTTCGATGTTTGTGTGCCAACTTGTAGGAAACTGCCCGAGTGGTCGTTTCCTGTTCGCAGTTACTGCTCACTACCTGCCAGATTTCTATGCGTTTCTGCATAATATGCAAATGCGAAAACGCATATTGCGACGACCCCGGTGTGTTTGTGTGTGTATGTGTGTGTGTGTGTCTGCCTGTCTGTCTGTCCGGGTATTACAACTCGGCACCTAAGCAAACTCTGGCGCCAAATTTTGCGAGTGGATTCCCCGGCCAAGTGCCACCCCAGGACCGCGGTATCAACCCTCAAGCACGTCTAGGCCCCGTGTACGAGCGCCTCAAAGTTGTGGCGGGAAAATCGCTAACTCGAGAACTAGAAAAGCTAGAAAGTTGAAATTTTGGGATTATGTTTCCAGTCCAAGTAGAACTCGAAGGTTTCATATTCAGCTTCCGCGGGTTCGTGGTTCCCGCGTACGGCCCCGTGAGGGTTCCTGGTGCGAAAATCGCTAGCTCGGGAACCAAGAAAGCTGGGGGGCTGAAACTTATAAAAGATGTTCCCAGCTCACCTGCTACTTAAATTTATTAAATTCAGCCCCTGTTATGCGTGGTTGCCACGTACGACCCCCTGAAAATTTTTGGCGGGAAGATGAATAACTCCGGAATCAGAGAAGTCTGGCCCACGGAACTATTCCAGTGGTGCCGTGAAAATGAGACATCCATAGTGATTATTACGGTAGACTTAGTCTTGATACTAGATAAAGTAGTGTATTATAGTGTCTATGTCGTTATGAGTTTTAGCTATACGTGTTTCCAGAAGCACTAAAATCGCCAGTGTATATAGAAAAAGGCTGTTTCTTTACATTGCGGCCTCCGTCCCCTCATTTGAAGTCTGTAGAGTACAAAATCCGAGACCGTATTCCAGCTAGTGTGAATGCGACGTAGGAAAGAGTACTCTTTGCTCGTCTCGCCTTCGCTAGGTAGATAATCCGTTCATTATCTTGTTCACACTGGTGATATACCGTTGCTGTGGGTTGTGCAACCAGATATGGCGAAGTGACGGGGCACGCCCATCGCCTTAAAAAATGTTTTTACTGATTTACTAACCCCTCATAACAACATCGCGGGGTCCATATGTTGCCTTAAGGTATTATGTTAATATCCAGGATGATGTCAGCATTGGGCTGGTGGGACTGGGGGGTTTGGAGGAGAGTGGAGGTGAGGTTTAGGAG